AATGAATGCGAGGAAAGAGAAGAATCCATTTTATTAATGTAAGACAATTATTGAAAAATAATAAAGTGACAAATGAATATAATTCAAAAATGTTGATAATATTGCAAATCTTAGTTTTCTAGTGTGATTCAGTGTTGCGTAAATTCTGATCTTACAAAAAATAAAAGTCGCATGCACGTTCATATATCCATACTCAATTTTTCTAAGAAAGAAAATGTATATTTTTGGTATCTAGGTTTGTCATTCCAAACATCCCTCTGTCCGTCATTCACGAAATCCTCGTTTTCAAACTGTTCTTATCTTTAATTTAAAATTATTGTTTGGAATGAATGGTGGTGTCCTTTATGTGTTAAATAAGGTTTTTGAAAAAATCTTAATTTTTACACTACAAGCTCCATGAACTCCTATATTCTATATACATGAACATGTAGTAGCAAACTCATATATCAGATAGGAATTGGTTGTGTACTATATAGATGTGCAAAAAAGGTTTCATTTGTATTTTGTATGCATCGTTTTATTAAAATCATCTACTTGTGACATAAACATTTTTATACCATCATTATACGCGAAAGAGAGAAGATCCATCATCCATCATAAGGTTGACATCACTCTGGCAAATAATATTCAAGACTGATTTTTTAAAAAAAAAAAAAAGATTTTATTATATTTGAAAACGAAATTACAACAACCCTATAAAAATTGAAATTTAACTTTTTGTTTTGTGATTGTTGGTAGGGTTTCGAATCTACAGTATTATCCTACTTATTCAATAGGTTATTTTTATAGAATTGAGAAATATAAACAAATTAAGGAATTATTGAAAGAAAAAGGAGCTAAAGATCGATTTGTCCAAAATAAAGCGGGAAACATATGTTGAAATTTTTATCGATTTTGACAATGTGCAAGATACATTAATTAACTGATGTATTATTTCCTTGTGTGTTTTCACAAAATCATGACATAAAGTCTAAAAATATGAATTATAAAATCCCCACCTAGGACAAGGTCCACTGAGCAAACAGCTTGCAAATATGTTTAAAAATATCATTTTACAGTATTTTCAAAATGATTTATGATAAATCATGGTCTTTGCTTTCTTCGTATTTTCTTAATATTCAATTTTCTTTCCTAATTGTGGTCCAACTTAGATGCTAGTGTTTTAGACTTGCACCAAATTGAATTTACTCAAAAAGTAAATGCAATCAAATATGAAAACTTCTGTCTCCTTCTATCTCTGAGTCTTTGAACACATTAAATCAATTCTGCAAAGTAGAGATATGAAAATAACAGTGTGACGTGTTTTAGTTTTTCGTCTCTGGGTTAAAGGGTGCCCATACGTGTTGTACGTTGCATGTGGCTTGTATGCCATGGTACTTGCCTACTTATTGACACCTGGAGGGATCCTAATCCCTGTTTGCAATACATTTGTAACCCTAGGTAATTTTTTGAAACGTATTAACTAAAAAAAAAACTAGCAATATACATGCATATAAACATTTGTGCATGTCTTTAACAAATTTTAAAGTGCAAGTTAATCATCACGGAAGATCAACAAATTTCCTTTTTAATCAGACTATGTTTAAATTGTATATTTTCCATAACATATTCATACCCTCATAAATGTATTTTGCATAACACATGAATATTTCAGAATATTCACATCACCTTATTTACATGGAACATTTTAAAAGCTTGACAAGCATAATTAAAATGTATGAGAAGCATACTGCTGAAAGCGTTTATATTTGATATACAGCTCTACACAGTTTGTATGAAGGTAAACTCAAGATAAAACAATTTAATATTAACAGAGAGAAAATGGAATGTCGCACAACTTTCGACGAGAAAGAGTAACATGAACTCACGTCAAGAGATATCCAGGAATAGAGTTTGAAAGGAAGACGAGGAAAGTTCATAATTAATTATGTTATACATCATATACAATTACATATTATGTCGAAAACATTACTAATGCTAATATCAGGATAATGCGAGGGGTGATCAAAAAGTTCGCGAACTAATTGAATTATTTCTTTAAAAGAAATAAAATGAAGTTTCAATGTTTATTATTTTTTAAAGTAGTCCTCTCCGATTTTAATGCACATCTGCCATTGTTCTGCCCATGCGTGAATCACGTGATCCAGGCAGTCACGTGACATGCTCCGAAGCAGTCTGTTCAGAGAAGCTAAAAGATTTTTCAGAGTCTCATATTTCTAACCATGCAATTTCTTTTTTTTAACAAAAACAGTCCATCTGTCAGAAATGGTCAAATCTCGGCAATAGGATGGGTGGATAAGGATATTCCTTCCCACAATTAGTATGGTGACCCATCACAACCCGAGTCCTCTGTCTCGGGAGAGTCGTTTTTCCAATGTCGATAAAGTATGGGCGCCTTCTTTTTATCATATCTCATATGTTTAAAGTCTAAAGTAAATGATATTTTAGCGATTTAATAATTATATTATTGTTAAGATATACAACCATTTTTCTAATTGTTACTTGACGATGTTTCATAACAAATTGCTCAACTAAGGACACATCTTTTCCCCGGCTTGCTTTCGCTGAGCAACAGAATAAACATCATTTTTAACCATCTCCCTGTCTTTACTTAAACAATCAATCCAATTATTGATTGAACTTCTGGTAAGTCTTTTGTCTTCATAAACCTTGTACAAATTATCATATTCTACTGCAAAGGAATTTCCAAGATATACGTTAAACTTTTCAGCCGTTCGTTGCTCGAGTACGACTGAGTCAACCATTTTTTGTCACAAGTGACCTACATATTGACGTCATTTTCACATTGTGACGTCACAAACACGATGCAAAACATTATTTAACGTATGTGATTTATAGAACATGTGTATGACTATATGTGTGCCAAATTTCATTCTGATCTGAATTGTGGTTTTGTAATATAGAGATAGTTCGCGAACTTTTTGATCACCCCTCGTATATCCATTTTGTATTCATAAGCCTACAGTCAACTTACTTGACTCCTCTGTTTTGCATTTTGTGGTAGCTTATAGCATTTCCTTGTTTAAACGTGAGAATATTTGACATAATCGTAAACAAACACAACGTTACCCTTTTGGTATTTTAAATCCAGTTTTAATTTCGATTTACCACATTTTCCATCCATTTTCTTCAATTCGATACTGTGTTTCTTGCTTCCTGTGATTTTTCTTTCATCAAATACCGCTTCTCGCGGATAGAAATACAGTCAGACGGTAGTCTGCTCATAATTATTGATCACAATTAGCCTTTCATCAAATGTTCGACAAGAGGGTCATATTTTCAACCCTTTTAAACATCCTTATTCAAAGAGTAACGGTTTTCCAAGCCGATTTGTCCTTGCACGTTTTGTCATAATTAACAACGGACAGTTAAACTATATCCATAGATAAATACCCGTCTCAGCTGAACATTAGATATATATATAAGAAATTTAAACTTTTATTTATTTATTGATCAAGTCAGCTTGACGCTGTGTTCATGGCTATTACCTTTCACTGACAATAATAGATTCAATGATCATGTATAATTTCATTTTTACATAGTCAGCAAGCCTCAAAGACTAGGGTCTTTGAGTTTGCCAAGTTATTTGGTATCGACAAAATCAATTTGTTTAAAGGTGTGAAACATATAGAACTAATACTCGTTTATATGGTTTAGAAGTTTCGTTCTTTAAGACACAGTGGATGCTGAGGCATTGGACCTCGTTTCAGCAAAGAAAGCTTTCATATTGTGTATCTTTTTAATGAAAAAATTTCCATTCTTTGAATGAAACGTAAATAATTTCAAATCATGATAATTATGGGGATTTTTTCCGTACATTTTGTGTTCAAAAGTACAGAATATGTAAAAGTTTGAAACATTTGAAACTTGAAGATTTTGGGAAATACCAAAAAAAAAAAATATTCAAATAACATGAAAATGGAAAAATTCTTTTAACATAAGAATATATACATGAAAAAAGATGTGTTTGTGAAACACTGATGCACCCGTATGGCAACTTATATCAAAGGTTAAGCTTTCTCAAATGCAAAACAAATATGTTGATACCCAAAGTAAGGTCTTGTCTCAAGGAATATCCTGTGAAATAAATAAGCCTAGCAGCAACCATTGAATAGATATGAAAAAGGTTAAAGTTTCTCAAAGGTAAGTCAAACATCAAGGTCAAATGGTCAAGATTATAGTGCCCAAGGAAAGGCCTTCTCACAAGGAATACACATGTGAAATATGAAAGCCGTAGCACCAATCTTTCAAAAGTTATGACCAAGGTAAAAGTTTTTTTCAAAAGTAGGTCAAACTCCAAGGTCAAAGGGTCAAAGTTGCTGGTATCCAAAGGAAGGTCTTGTCACAAGGATTAATATGTGAAGTATGAAAGTCCTTGCTCCAACCGTTCAAAAGTTATGGCCAATGTTAAAGTTTTCCAAAAGTAGGTCAAACTCCAAGGTCAAGGGTCAAAGTTGTTGGTATCCAAAGAGGGGTCTTGTCACAAGGATTACACATATGAAGTATGGAAGTCCTAGCACCAACCGTTTAAAAGTTATGGCCGAGGTTAAAGTTTGGTAAAATTTTGCAAAACTGGATCAAACTCCAAGGTCAAAAGGTCAAATATGGTGGCACCTAAAGAAAGGTCTTGTCACAAGAAATACACATGTGAAATATGAAAGCCATAGCTCCAACAAATCAAAAGTTATGAGCAATGTTAAAGTTTTTGCGGACAAATAGACAAACAGACATACAGACTGACGGACAGAGCAAAAACTATACACCCCCGAATCTTCAATACAGGGGCACAATAAACTAATATATATTAAACCTTTTCATACTTTGAGGGCTGTGGTTTTTGAAATTGTTGCCCTAAGTAACATCCTGGCCCCACGATTTACTACACTGGAATCTAATCTTGCATACTTTATAATTTATACAAATATACAAGATATCATACAATCAATGACATGATTTCTCGACCACAAAGGTCTTCTGATTTCAAAATAAAGAAAAAATTAATCTAAATATAAATTGTAAATTAAAAAAGATAATATCATGACATTAACTCCATGTATTCTTCTTGGAAAAGGTACATATTTAAATTGTTAACAATTTTCAGATCACAATTCATATCATTGACATCATTTGAATACTGCTCTTTGAATATTGAAATTTTGACAGAAATAAATATATAATTTAATACATAAAATGCATGCATCTGAAGCTTTCACGGGAATTTTATTTCCTTATTATAAATGTATGCTTCAAACTATGTTTCACTGGAATTATATCCATAATCAGAATCCCTTTGTTCATTTAAAGACTCATGCATATGATCGTATGTGCTGTCAGTGTCGTGTTTCTGATCAGTAGTTGAGGTATCGTAGTCACATATACCCATGTTGCTATCAAACGTTGCATGTTGATAGGTGTCATCCACAGTTTTCTTCCTGGCATCTTTGTTTCTCAAATGGTCGTAGTCTCCCTCTTCAGTCTCATTGTAAGGACTCTCCGAGTGTATAATACTGTTATCAACCACTTCATAGGTAGAAGGATTTTCTAGCACAAAATATGCGCTTTGAGCTGGATCGTCAACCTCAGAATATGTGCTGTTGACACTTTCCAGTGCTGGTCTATTTTCCTGCTTGCTTTTGTTAATTATTCTGTCCCTAAAAGAAAAACGAACACACTTGTAGTTTTTTTTTTCAGAATTGTTTAGTCCTCTAATTTTACCCTTTATAGATGAAAACTAAAGAAAATTTTATGCATAATGCTTGACATTGAATGTTATCAATATATGAAAGAAAATTGCAATTCATTGAAAAATCATCCCGTGCTGTTTTGAAGGTAGGGATAAATAAAATAAGATGTTACATTTGATTAAAATGAAAAAGGTGAAAATAACAGTGATCGATCTCAAAAAATATATACAATACACACATGTGAAAAGGGCATAAACCCAACCCCCAACCCCCCTAGAAATTCCAGAGGTGGGATCAGGCGCTTAGGAGGAATTATGCAAATAATGTAAATAAATTATGCAAATAAGATTTTTGCCAACATGTACTGTAGCAATGTCGGGTAAATTTTCTTATGACAGATTTAGTTTTTAAAAGTTTGAATTTCTTCATCTTCAAGAGTCGAGTACATTGAGGATGACTACGAATGTTTTGACTGACTTCTTTCTATATTACGATGACTAATTAATAATTTATTTATATTATATTTGAATTAGGATTTCTTAAACTTAAAGCTCAACATACCAAGATTTATTTCTTTTATCAGATGCCAAAGAGCAATATTTTGATTATGGTTGCAGTTTTGTAAGATTTGTTCCCAGTGATTTTTGTTTTGCACTTCAAAACTTATTGCAATAATTGCAAAACGTATAATTCATCACAATCCTGTTAATACTGTTAAAAACATCCAAAGCTTCTTAAATCTTAGATACTTCAAGTTGGGTTTCCTATTTTTGTCTGAATAATTTTATGTACCAGGTTCAACACATTCCTCCTCCTTATGTTTTCCAATGTTTTTATGTTTACACTTTATTACATGTTTTAAGAGTTATGAATACATCTCATATTCCGGGCCTAGGGAACTAAATGTTAATGTTCAATGACTATTTTCATCAGAACCTTTCCAGTGTAATGAAGAAAATTCAAATAAATATAAACATCTTTACGAAAGTGTTCTGGTATTTTCTTATTGGATCTTTAGAAAAAAAAACGCAAAGAAATCCACAATCGTTACTAGAACTTATTGATGGCATGAAAATACTTTTGCCTCAAACGAAATACTATGTACATGTATATCGAACTACATGTATAAAAAAAAACTTTGTTAAAATCTTTTGATTATATGCGTACACATTCTTCTGGGTTTGCTTCTGAAATACCGTTGTGGAATCGTAATTAGATACATCTCCATTGGTAACAGGCGTTGCATGTTGATAGGTGTCATCCACATTTTTCTTCCTGGAATCTTTGTTTCTCAGATGGTCGTAATCTCCCTCTTTAGTTTCATTGTAAGGACTCTCAGAGTCTACAACACTGTCCTCAGCTAATTCATAAAAAGAGGGTTTCTCAATCACGAAGTATGAATCGCCATGTTGATTGCTAACTTCAGGATATGTGCCATTCGAAATTCCATCCACTTTTGGTAGATTTTTATTGTCATTCATTTTACGTCTAAGATTTCTCCGTCTGTTTGAAGAGAGTTTAATTCATCAAAATTATTCATTTCATAGATATAAATTCTGATAAGGGATATTCATGAGCTCAATACTTGCTTATAAGGTATCCCAATACAGATACACGAAAGGTTTTCTTGCAGCCGCGTGTTCGGTTTTTTTCTTTATTTTATTTTTTTTTTTAAATCAATTCCTACACTTTAACCTGGCAAGTCAAAATTTGATTAAAAAATCTTGCTGGCATTAAACTATCAATTTAAAAAAAAGGGATGCCAACAAATATTCGAATATTCGAGAAGTTGATACTTATATGTTAATTAATGATTCCATTATTCGGGGTGTATCCGGAATACACGTAATAGCAATATATAAAATACTGATGAATTTAACTGGAACAGCGCCGGAATTATCACAGTTTTGTTTAAACCGATCAATTGTGATCAGCCAATTTCTTTTACTATATTGATCTACTAAATTATTATCCCCCCCCCCCCGCTTGAAAAACGAGGGGTGTACGTGTAAAGTGATGGGAAGTACGCTTTGGGGTACCCATCGCTTATCCGCACTTATCAACAACTCCGCCTATATACTACTGAATGAAATTTAATGAGACTTTAACCGAATCTTTGTAACAGAGTTCCATTGTGCACATCCATCTCATAGCAATATATTGACTTTGCCATTATACATGTACATGTGATCATATGGGAGGCGGGGGGTATCATATTGTGAGACCAGTTCTCACAGTACCTCTAGTTTCAATATGAATTGTTATTGTCAGAAGAATTATTTTATTCCAAATATCAAATGTTGGCTATATTTTGATAGGGAAAGTACCGGATATTAAATGACGTGTAAATAATCAGTGTAATTTACCGAGAGGATTTTTTCCAAGATTTTAAAATGACGGTATGTGTATTGGGTACACATATTCCCATCTCTTAATACGATTGGATTTAGAATCTGGGACAACAAAATAATATTCTTGTTTCAATATCTTCATTAGATTTTAAAGAGTAGCAAATACCTTTAAAAGATGAGCTTTACGTTTTACTAGGGATGATACTTTGAGTTTGCATATACTTTTAAGATAAAAAATAAATATTTCACTTTAAATAAATAAAATATTTACTTAAGGAATAACTGTCTAATTTTTTGGATTCATGATGTGATCAATCGAGTGGCTTGCGTGATAATTTGCATAAACGCCGAAGGCGTTTATGCATAAAATTATCACGCAAGCCAATCGATTGATCATCGTCATGAATCCAAAAAATCTGACAGTTATTCCTTATATTTACATGCTCCTGATTCTGCAAATTCCCGTGCTAATAGCCCCGCTTCTGTCTCTATTTGTCCCGCCCCGCACGTGATTTTTTTTAACCGCGCCTATCGATGAACCAGTAGATTTATGTAGAAATAAAGTATTTTTACAATTTGTAATTTTATCTCGGACAAAGACATTGGAAAATATAAATATTAACTGATAAACAGATATGTCCTTACAATGTTATCTTTGATTGATAAAAATTGATATACATTTTCCCATTTTCTTAATTCAAGATATATATAAATGTATATTACCGAATATATATAACTGTCAACACAATTATAATTGCTGCAAATATTCCTAGAATGATAGGTACACTTATGATGGCGTCATTATTATCTACAAAGAATTATTTCTGGGTTATAAGAAAAGGTTTATATAACACAAAATATATTAATATCATTCAAAGTATTTTCTATTATACACTGGCCATTATCGTATCGACAATTCACAATTACATGTATGCAATACATAAAGTTAGCGTAGTTTTTATTTACCATATCTTTCACTTGAGCTGATATTTCCTGGCGAAGTAATTGATTTTGTAGAAGGATAAGTTTCAACAGATATTTGTTTCTCTCTCGAAGTTAAAAGACTCTCGTCAGTCGTTGATATGTGTTGATTTGATGAAGTTGCCGTTGATTGGTTTAACGTTCTTGTTTCTTTTTCATTTGTAAAATCTGACGAACTTGTACTCGTAGCCATATCTTTTGTAATAAGGGACTGGTGCAGGGAAGTACTTGTTGTAACGGATATATTTGTAGTTGTGATTTTCGTTGTAAATCTTTCTGAACATTGTGCATGATTCTGAATTTCATCAGTGCAATTACGAAACGTACAATTGGCTCCAGTTTTACATTTTTGGCAAAGAAAGAAATAGTTTTTTTCAGTGTCTTCTATTTTCCTGCCTTTTCAAATGAGAATTTTAATATATATTAAGGACAGTTGATACAAACAAACTTTTATCAAAATTCCTAAAAATAACAACCTAAGTCACATTTATATGAGTAAAATGAATAAGTTTAACCGCACAGACCTAAATTTTCAATCAAATTTTCGCAATAATGGAATTTTAAGTGACAAAATTTGTATACATTAATAAGGATGGTTGCAGAAAGGTAAAATTTTGAACACCATAGAAAGTTTACAATTTCTTAATATTTTAGAAATTTATTATTCGCCACATTTACAACCAATATAGGTCGAAAAATATATACCAATCCAGGTATCCATATTTTTGTTTGTATCATCTGTCCTTACAAGCAATATAGGATTGACTATATAAATTATTTTGTTCATCGAGAAATGAATCTAAAAACACGAATCGCACATTTTATGAAAGCCGAAGGCTTTCACGAAAAAGTGTGCCATTAGTTTTTTAGATTCATTTCTCGATGAACAAAATAATTTATATAGTCAATGCTTATAATTCAATTTCAGTGAAGAACATGTCACTTTTCATGTAAATACTCATTATTTAGCTAACTCGAAAAAAAATTGTGCACGAAATTTACATGCATGCTGACAGCTGCGTAGAAATATATCGATTGGAAAATTACACGATTTTCAAAAGCTCGTAGTACACAAGGCGGGTATAATTTTTTTTTTTTTTTAAGTAATAAAAATAAAGAAATCCCCACTGTAATTTTGCCTTTATAATAATTTACTAAGATATCAATTACGTAATGAAAATCAGCACGTGTAATTTTAAAAGCGATTACAACATAAAGAAGGCAGAAACTTTGATTTGTTGTCTGTACTTAAGCAATCGGTCAACGGTCACACGTCGAGTGGAGTACAACGAAATATTAAAAAGAGATATCTTCATGTTTTAAAAAAAATCTGGAAATAAACGTGCTTGTCGATACACCTTTATACACGTACAACTTGATTGACGATAAATACCCTGCAAGAAGTTGATGTGCAGACGAAATACATGAGAATGTGAGAATAAGTTAAAACTCACATCAAGAAAACTTAGTCTAAGGTCCTTTTCATTATTTTTAACTTTTATAACCTACATAATAAGTTTAATTTATTTCTAGTTTTGTTTTCAATTTGTACTAATTCAATGTAAATTGTTACTTGTAAATAAAATACGCAAAACCCGTGCTTCTTTACAGAGTTATATCCCTTGCCAACCCCGGCATTAACCATTGAAAGCAATTAGCTCGCTTAATATTTTATTTGAATATTTTCTTAACTCTACTCAACAAAAATTTTTATTGTAAAATTCAATAATAAAAACACATGATTAAAATATTTCCTTCAAAAGACACGATGAGAAATAAAAGATTTACAGAAGCTGAATTTAAATCATGAAAAGAATGTTAACATAATTACTCGTTTACGAGATATTAGTTTATAGCAGAGTCGCACGTAATCTTAATTGTACAGACTCGGTTTACTGACATATATCG